CTAACCTCTGTGGTGGATCACCTAGCAATGACAAGTTACATGACGGATCTACACGAGGTGACGTAATAGTTCACTCAAAAAGCAAAATGACAAAACCCGTAGCCTAACTATGAAATTATTACATTGAAAGGCTATCCCTAACAACTTGCTTAGTACCTATAAATCTCACACCAGCTCCACAAGCAAATTAACAAACAATCAAATCTTGATTGAAAATATTTTCTTAAACATACACTAAGCTTGAGTTACTTTTTTGAGGGAAAGGGTTAATTTTAAAATTCTAAAGTGAGATGACAAAGGTGGATTGCGAAAAAAGTCCTTACGAACAAAAGATCCAGTGAAGAGACCACAAAGACTATTTGTCCAAATTGTCCCATCGTTTGCGCTATTAAGCAAGAGGAAAAATGCCGGCCGCCAGAGTGAGAGATCCATGGCAGGCCAAGAGATGAGTAGGACATGATGAATACTGTTCTGCATTAACCTGAGAGAAAAATTTTGTATCATGTCATCTTATTATTGTAAGTTGAAATGTCGTCTTGCATTTCAACTTGATATTTTTTCATTATTATTATAAATGCATTTTAGTCAAGCGGCTGTACCATTTCTGTTTCATTTGCTGTTTTTTTCTTATCTTTTTTATTCTTTCAGATCATAGAAAAAAAAGCTCATCGAACAGAAACAAAGCGAAATCCGGTGTGTGCACAACGGCCTGAAATGCTTTTGTGAAAGAGAGTACCAACCTGCCTGTGACACTGTAAAGCCAATGCCGCATTATGTAAAAGCTTAATTGTTCTTGAGTTACATTTATTAATTTTATAGGAAGTGCTAGGCCTTGTCAGCGTAGTGCCCGGGCTCACCCCAAGTCTTTAGGATGACGTTTTTTGTACGCTGACTCCTGCGTATGCTTGGGTCTGAGAGAAAATTCCTCCTAACTGCGAAACTTTCATCAATGAAGTCCCAGGTTCCCAGCGCTAACATAAGTTTTACTGCCAGGAGTGAAGAGCATCCCCATCTCCAGCATACCTGGAATCAGAGAGGGAGGCTGGCGGCCTCCTGATCCCCAGCAGAAGAAACCTCCTCAGGAACAATGTGATTTTGCCATCGACGCTGACTACCTCTACGGCCTTTTCAAAACAATTCTAAACCACGTGAGTAGCGATAGGCACATTGAAATAAATTGGCTTTTTCTTATTTTAGGCTGCGAGCTCAATAGAATAACATTCATTTCTATATTTCTTATTCCGAAAAACTAAATTTCAGGAGTTTAAATAACTTCCTTCATTTTTATCATTGTCAGCTTTATAATTTAAATAATAACAATTTATGAATATAAAAACAGCGTTGATATACTGAGTTAATGCAACATGTTNTTGGATTCTTTCTGCTAAGGTTGAAGTTTAAAATATTAAATGAGGTAATAGTATATGGATGTGACAGTTGAAGCAACATTCGAACTGAAGATTATATTGTAATATAACAATCTGCACACCTCCCAGAGGGCCGGAATAAACTCAATTAAGAAGACAAGTATTTAATAGGACATGTCGAGGGCCTCCATTTTATTCCTAACATCAAAGGAGACTAGGATACATCATTTAATAATGCTCTGCTGGAAAATTATATCCTCAATAACAAGCACTAAAACAACAAAAACTTTTTTAACAAAACTGATTCCAAAACGGCACAGTACTGCATCACTACATGTAAAAGTTCATTAACGATATTACGTTGTAGTGAACGTCTCGAAAATGTATTATTTCATTTTGTCATGAATTATAAAATGAAATGTCATGAATTATAAATTATAAAAACGCTGCATAATTATAAAAACCCTGCACATACGTCTGATGACAATATTAAAATAAAATAGAATTTCATTATTCGAAAAAGATCAACAATGTTTGTCAAATAATAATCTAGACTTTCCCCAAAGTGCAACACTGAACCCGAATGCGGATCGTAAAGACGTAAACCGATTTATTCACTTGGCATTACTTTGTTACCTAGAGCACATTAAACTGGGGTAAGAATCTAATAATAATAAGATTTATTTATTTTTGTATCTTCTTTGTGTTGTGAGGTGTTGCTATTGTAATGACAAATATGTATACTATTGTCTCATATCAAAACAAGATCTGTCATGTGGCAGCTGTGTGAGTAAAATCTTAAGTTGATAAGAAATATTCCTGTGAGATATAAAATGTAATAGTCATGTTGTCAGCTGCTACGACCTATGATATGTATGTGTTCTGTGTACTGATTTATGTAACGTTGGCAGGTATTTGGTCTGAGCTACTCTTCTAGTGGCATCCCTCAAATGTCAAGATCTAAGAAAGAAACTTGAAAAGCATCTCTCCTTGTTTGAAACACCCTCCTGATACCATTAAAGTTTTGTGGATGTCATTCTAGAATCTGTTTCTTGAACTTTGAGGCTAGAATAGTGAGGTCCCACTGTCCCACACCAACATGCTATGTGTACTGGTTAATCTAATACCCCTCT